CCCCCCAGCCCATGGCACCCCTGGGCCCCGCCCAGAGGGGCAACCCGCCTCAGGACCCACGGGGGGGGGAGGGGAACGCTGGGGGCAGCATCCGTGCAAAGTGGGACCCCCGGGGAGCCCATGGTGCCGGGTGACAGCGAAGAGGCCGCTCTGCGGAGGAGCAGCGAGCACAGAGCCCTGTTACTGCGCGCCCCACGCACAAGGCACAACGGGCCCAAAGCAAGAGCTTGCCCACCCCCGACAGGCCCCAGGCCAGTTCCCTGCCCTTCGGGGTGCTGCAGTGTCCGAGGGCCCGCTGCCCAGTGTGGAGCCGGGCACTTCCTGCGCCCAGGAGAGGCGCCGCAGCCCTCTCCAGCCAACAGGAGCTCCCGGGGCTTTGCGCCAAGCACCCACCGTGCAAGGGCAAAGGGAGCGGCTCCTGCGACCATGAGCTGTCCCCAGGCTAGCGCCGGCGCCCACCGCCAGGCCCGTGAGGGGCCAGGCCCCAGCTCCCCTGTGCCGGGTACTCACCATCCACGCAGGAGGGCGCCGCGCGGGTGGTCCCCGCCACCTGCCCCGGGAAGCAGGAGCATTTCACCGTCTGGGAGCGCTCCTCGATCTTGTTCTTATTGCAGCACCGGTGGGCGGCGATGACCTCGCACGTGCCAGGCTCGATGTGCACTGCGGGGAGGCAAATGGCCACGCCTGAGCCGGGGCTGGGTCGCCGGGCCCTGCCCCCGACTCCAGCTCAGCCGCTACCCGGAGCCACGGGAACGGCCCGCGCAGAGACAGCGGCGCCTCGCCCGCGCCCCTTGTGCTGCACCGCCAGACAAACCCTCCGCCGCCACGGCAACGTCTCTTCTCGGTCCGGAGCGCCTGCCGCGAGCTGGCCTGAGCACCGGAGAGCGCCTGCTGGCCCAGCGGGGCAGCCTGGCACTCGGCTGGTCACCGAGTGCGGACGGGTCGGGATGGTCAGACCGCAGGGCCCCGCGTGTGACGCCATCACGTTCCCCCCTCGGCGGCCTGGTGCTCTAGCAGCAGGGAGACGCTGGGGACCGGAGCACACAGCGCCCGGCCAGCCACTGGCACTCAGGGTGCACCAGTGCACTGGGCCCCCCGTCCCACCAGCAGGGAGCAGGTGCAGCGGGCAGCCCAGGGCAAGACCGGATTTAGGGCAGCCTGTTGTCCCTCCGCTAGCCCCGTCACAGCCAGCTGCACGCAGGCCAGGGGGACTTTCCCCACCTCCCCAGGGGAGCCCGGCTTCATGGCTGGGAGGAAGCAATGCGGTGTTTCCAAGGCAGGGTGCCGAAACCAGGCCCGCCTGCGCGGCTGAGTCCTGTAGGCAGAGCCCTGGATCCGGCTTGATCTCCGCATCCCGCTTGAATTCTATTTCCTCCTAACCCCTGCCCGGCTGAGCAGAACGACCAGCTCCGCCCCAGAGGCCAGGCCTTCCCTCAGCCCAGCTGGCTGATTAGTCGGCGGGTGCAAACCGGAGGCGAGACAAGAAGAGCCGGCCGGTCCAGCCGCAGGGGGGGGCCCCCGG